GTGTGTGTGTGTGTGTGTGTGTGTGTGTGTGTGTGTGTGTGTGTGTGTGTGTGTGTGTGTGTGCACGTGCGTGCGTGTGCGTGTGTGCGCGCGTGGCTTGCGTGTCAATTATGTTCAAAATCTTGAAATCTTGAAACCTTGTGTACGTGTGTGCGTATGCCGTGTGTGCGTATGCCGTGTGTCTATGTGCGTGCATATGCGTACGCGACCGTGTGTAAACGTGTATATTATAACTATTATAAGCTCATCGTGCGTTTTTGTCACTAAGCCGTTGGCAAAATCTTCCAGCACACTACAAACACAGACTCAAATAAATATCAAAAAAGGGTTGTCTGGGTTTACATATTGATGGTCAAACTATGAAAAAGTCCACACGGGTGCGTGGGATTAACACACAATGAACTAAGTCTTACAATTAGTCATATAATATAATATACACATTATATATTCAGTGTGTAAGACCACCGACAAGTATCAAAAACATAGCATACCCGTATACATTATCATAATATCAGCAGTCTATATTCTACACTCCTGATAATATAACATAATATACATACACAATGTAATTTACTAAGTAGTGTATGTATCACTCTGTTTCACTCAGTATACATGATTAAAAGTATAATTTTCCACACCGCGGACTCTCCGTTTAATAGACGCATTGTACGACTGGCTGACTGACTGACTGACTGGCTACACGTTATATGTGCCTTAACTCTATCTAACTCTACCCTAACCTGGCGCAGCGAGCACCCGTACGTAACTGCCCAAAACTGCCAAAAGTTGTGTGAATTAAGGCACACCGGCTCTAGTTGCTATGTACATCTCATAAAATACGGTATGTTTACTTACTTCGGCGATTCGTGAAAATCCACAGATACTAGAAACATACAATCCTTGGCTATCAGTAGTTTTTTCATACACTAAAAACAGTAAACACGGGGACCGATAACACGACCAACAGAACAAGCTCACGCTCTGCTGTTCAATGGATTGTTGTTGTGAGAGAGGCAGAGCGACCGGCTGTTCACGTGTACTCCGTATCTTTGCTCCGTACATTGACACACAAGCGCCATCTACGGGTCGCTTTTATAAATTTTCGTCTTTACGATTAATCCGGTTATTATGGACTTGCGTCTTTAGTTTCAAACAGAAAATACATTTGGTTAAAATTATACATTTATAGTAGAGAGCATATGTTCACAACCAGTTTGGTACGAAAAAAATACAATATCAATGTGAAACATTGATAATGATGAGGCGCGCAATGACGCAATCTTCCCAAATTCGTTTATTATCAGTATTCGTGCTTGCTCAGTATTTGGCACATACATATATTTATAAGGTAAGGAGTGATCCATAGTTAGGCTGAGAGGGTCTATGTCCCCCAGGGTACTGCCGGAGGCCTCGCGTCCTGCCCCTTGCCTGCCCTGTCCCTCGCTCAACCTCCTTCTTCTCTCACCGCCCCTCGGCTGTCTTCCCTGCCACCTTCCCTCGGTCTCCCACCCTTCTCTCCCCCAGCAAGTTATATTATGGAGATTGCCTCAGACGGCACTGCACGCCTAACACGGTGCGCGCGCATGCGCAATATCTCCCGAGAGCAATCGTATTTTGCAAAGATTATGCATTTAAAATGAAGAGGAGTTATCCTAGCATAGATTTATATGATAACATTCCATCTGTAGACATCATTTAACAAATAGGAGGAAGACTTTGCATGTAACGTTCCGGCTGCGTATACCAGCCAGTACACAATATGGCTACGTTAGTGTGTTAGCGCATGCGCAATATATCTCACAAGAGGCGTTATATTTTGTGACGAATATGCATTTAAAATGGTTAGGGGGTATCTCAGCATAGATTTCCCTAATAAACTTTTATCAGTAGAGCTGTGTTTATAATTAGGAGAGCGCCCTAGCATGTAGTGTACAAAACACCTACTTTATGCCCTCGCGTCCTTCCCCTTGCCTCCCTTGTCCCTCGCTCAGCCTCCTTCTTCTTCTACCGCCCCCAGCTTTCTTTCCTGCCGGATTTCCTTAGTCTCCCATCCCCTCTCCCCCTCAGCAAGCTATATTATGAAGTTTGCCTCAGACTGCACGCCTAACACGGTGCGCGCGCATGCGCAATCTCTCCCGAGAGAAATCGTACTTTGCAAAGATTATGCATTTAAAATGTAGAGGAGTTATCATAGCATAGATTTATATGATAACATTCCATTAGTAGACATCATTTAAGAAATAAGAGGAAGACCTTGCATGTAATGTCACCGCTGCGTATACCAGCCAGTACACAATCTGGCTACGTTAGTGTGTTAGCGCATACGCAATATATCACCAGAGGAGTTATATTTTGTGATGAATATGCATTTAAAATGGTTAGGTGGTATCTCAGCATAGATTTCCCTAATAAACTTTTATCAGTAGACCTGCGTTTATAATTAGGAGGGTAGGGAAGGGAAGGGGGGATGAAGTAGGAGTTTTGCACCCTATAGGCTGGGACGCTCTCCTAATTATAAGGACAGGTCTACTGATAACAATTAATTGCAGAAATCTATGCTGCGATATCCCATGACCATATCAACTCTATAGTCATCACAAAATATAACTCCCCTGGTGAGATATTGCGCATGCGTTAACCCACTACCGTAGCCAGATTGTGTACTGGCTGGTATATGCTGCGGGGACCTTACATACAAGGCCTTCCTCCTATTTCTTAAATGACGTCTACTGATAAAATCTTATTATATAAATCTATGCTAGAATACCTCCTCTCCATTTTAAATGCAAAATGTGTGCAAAATATTATTCTTTTCGGAAGATATTGCGCATGCGCGAGCACTGTTTTAGGCATGCAGTACGGACTGAGCAAGACCGCATAATCATAATATAGCTTGCTGGGTGAGAGAGGGTGGGATACTGAGGACAGACAGCAGGGAAGATAGCTGAGGCCGGTAGAAAGAAAAAAGGAGGATGAGCAAAGGGCAAGGGAAGCAAGGGGTAAGGGTGGGTGGGGATGAAGTAGGAGTTTTGTTTGAACCCTATAGGCTAGGGCGTTCTCCTAATTATAAACACAGGTCTACTGATGACAATTAATTGCATAAATCTATGCTGAGATACCCCATGACCATACAAAATCCATAATCATCACAAAATATAACTCCTCTAGTGAGATATTGCGCAAGCGCTAGCACACTACCGTAGCCAGATTGTGTACTGGCGGTATATGCAGCGGGTATCTTATATACAAGGCCTTCTTCCTATTTCTTAAATTAGGTCTACTGATGAAATTTTATCATATAAATCTATGCTAGAATACCTAGCATTCCCACCTTCCATATATACCGGTATACTGCCTTTTCATTTTTCACATCACCGCATTCCCTTCCTCCTCCCTCTCCACATTTCCCCTCTCCATTTCCCTCTCCCTTTCTCTATCTCGCTCCTGGTTTCTCTACTCGCATACATACATATATATATATATATATAGCAAAACCCACGAACATTAGTCAGTCCTGCTCAAAAGTTACTGGCCCCAGGCTGAGGGAGTACAAGCTGCTACTTCCAACACTAGGTAGGCATAAATTTCATGAGTACATGTCAACCTCCTAGTACACTACTCTGGTTGCCGAAGAGATTCATGCGATTTTCCTACGTTCTATTGTGATATTGAACAGGAGGAATAGCCACGGCGGCAAGCCTGTGATCGATGCTTCCCATTCTTCTAAATAATTTAAATGCGAGATTTCTTCTCGAATCTTTTATATCCCACTTCATCTCCTTTGATTAAGTTGAACAATCAACTTTATAATTGATTCCCCCCCCCCAGTTTTTTTTTTTAGCTTTTCAGTTCCCATTTCGTAGATTTTATCAAACTTGACAGGCAACTCTTCCGTATGCTATAAGCACATCAATCTCACAGCAACCTAAAGTGTGTAGAGAGACCAAACATTTACACCTTCGCTTTTGTCGTGTCGAAAATGTAGTGGTACCTCCACACCACCCCCAGATTACAGCCAAGGGAACGGTGTTTATAAGTAATATTAGACACTTTTACAAGACAAACTAAGCTTACAGGCAAATTTAGAGTATCATCTGCAAAATGCAGATAGATACAAGTGACAGCCAAGACTCCACTCTGATGAGAAAGGCAATCAGAGTTCATTTGCGAGGAGAAATACTCCATTGTAAACACACACACACATGCACGCACGCACGCACGCACNGCACTACTATATAGTGCATTCACTGCATTATCAGCATGGTCAGGTAGATACAACGCGCTAGCTGGTGTAGCGCGAAATTTCTGACTAACAAGTATCAGTACCAAGTAACAAGTACTTCAAGTATCAGACAAACAAAAAGCGGCGGGTATCCCATATATCTTATATGCCCCTTTTCATTAAAAAAGTTCGAAGGCGGTCGATCGTGCGTGCACCATCTCTTCCCATATATCCCTCACTGATCGACGCTGTTGTTATATAAATCCAAATATATTTCCGTCTATAAAAAATGCCTTTACATAGCTTTGGGTCTATATTTAGCCGATATAGGCCTATCATGCCCCATTTTATTGCGTTATGTGTCAACGCCTTGCAGTGTCCATATGCAATTATAAATGCATGGTCAACATGATATATATATTATATATACATTTACAAATATAAATTGCTGTAGTACAGACGAGAGATCTGATCAAACTACGAGCATGTTCCTGTTAGGGATTTACTGTCCGTGAGGCATAAAACAACATCAAATACCTGTGTGATTTGCTACTGTTTATTAATGATAAGTTCTTGCCGCTGCGTGCGGTCTCCGAGACAGGGATGTCATGCTCAGGTCGTCTGTGTTTACAATACGCAAAACACCTAACCCCAATCTCACACGAACGTATACAGTGTAAACGTCTCTGTATGTACGCAACCTGCACCCGCGATGCACGACGGGAACTATTGCCCACATTTTGTGACCCGGGTGAAGGTTGTTTTGCTTCTCGCTCCCGTCAGCCATCTTTGGTCTGTTGTGATTCTGTCGATCCAAATGTCTGGACATCAAAGACCTTCAGATAACGATGCTTGGGCTCTGCTGGCGTTAAAATCAGCACCAGCTAGTCCAGCAAAAGTTCAGTGGTGTCCAGAGGAGACCGGACAGGCGATTGCCCGTCTAGAGGGCAGAGAATTTGAGTATATGGTGAGGCAGAATCGTATCTCGATAGGTCGTAACAGCAGCCAAGGCAAAGTGGATGTAAACATGGGACATTCCAGCTTTATTTCTCGGAAGCACATTGAAGTTTTCTTCGAATCCCCGAACTTCTACATGAAGTGTCTCGGGAAGAATGGAGTTTTCGTGGATGGGGTCTTCCAGAGGAAACATGCACCCCCTATACAGCTGCCGAAAACGTAAGTCGCCATGCGGTGGATGCGCGCTTGTGTTGTCATGCGACTGTCGATAACCGTTACTGCAACTCCGTATTCGTGTCACAGGTAGTTAAAGTACAATAGTCTAATGTTCGGCGATTTTAATATTCATGCTTCAAGACCCTACCCTATTTGATGGGCGGCTGGCGCTTTAAGATCCATTCTGTTGTTGAAAATGTGTAAATGGACTCCTCGTGGTCTGTGGAGGCCATTTTTCTTTGGATTTAAAATTGGATGTTTTGCTGCTACTGTAAACGTTAGTGCATTTTAGTTTTTTACCTATTTGAACTAGGGCACACCATTGAAGCCATTTCATGTTATAACATGATGGCACTTACTCGTGGACGCTATTGTTTGAGTTTACTAGTATTAGTGCGGTGTTGTTATTCACTTGAAGTTGTACTTGTACACCATGTCACATGTGATGTGTTGTGTATCTTGTTTGCAGGTGCATGATACGCTTTCCTAGCACAAACATCAAATTGACGTTCCAGTCACTCATTGATGAAAGCAATCCTCCAGCACAAGAGGTAAGTAAATGTCTGCACACGAACACATGCACCCACCCACGCACAGAGAGGGGAGAGAAAGAGAGAGAGATACTTAGTAATTCGAGTCTATCCCTAATACTGTTTGGCATGTCATGTGGGGATCATGTGATTTCATTATTTGCTTTAGCATAAATTCAAAACTTTGTCAGAATACAACACATAAAGTGTACAGATTTTGTGAACATGTCTCTGAGAAAGGGTGAATCAGGGTCTGCAAGTGTCCATAGTTATGTTAATCCATGGTCTGTGGAAGGGGGGATAGGGGTGGCTTGCAGAGAGTTAAAGACATTCATGCATATATGATTATAACAGGATAAGCTCTGATACTATCAGTCTATCAGATAATGATAATAATCTTCAACAATGTATATCCTCATAGAGTTTTGAGCACCTCCCTGAAAATGAGTACATATTTGAAATGACTGATTTGAGCACAATGGTAAATGAAACTTCCCATAACCCCCTACCACTAAGTACAGATTTGGATACAGACTGTATCCTTGAAAGTGGCCACAATTCATTTATCTTATTAGTAACTTTCTTCTAATTGTTTCAGATATAATTTATAAATGTGTAATTGTCAAAATTATACTGGCATTTATTTAATCATATTTATAAATTAAAATTGGTAATTGTTAATAAATATTGTGAATTGAAAAAATAATCACAACGTAATAAACTTTGTTGTATTTGTAAGATCCCCTAGTTATTGTAATAGTACGCGTAGCTTAATTGGGAGGACAGCCTCATGGGTGAGATGTTGATGGAGCTGGCTCTCATCATGAGGGTTTAATTTTTTAGCTTCCTCATCCATGTTTTCGGTAAATTTTTGCAGCAGATTTCCAAAGTGCTCAGCCTGCCTAAGCGGCCGCCCGTCACTCCGCTGAAGATCAACATACCAGAGCCGGACAACACTGGCAGATTTGCCAGCCCGTTCCCATCTCCCACAGGAACACTGAGGTAAGTGAGCGAGTAATCCCATGCCCAGGGACTAGTATTGTCTACGTTGTTGTACTAATTAATGTCGTGCAGTAATCAACAGTTACCTAGATAGAATATTGTATCCCATCGGCATCCCTGTTGCTCTGATGTTGTGTCTGTCTATAATGCTATAAAGCTGGAGGTAAAGTGTAAGATTGTTTTAGCGATCAGACAAGATGTGTTTCCCCCTCGAATCCTCGATGACAAAGCAACGATTACAGCTATCGCGCTACTGTTGCAATGCACGTAGCGGGCTCGTAGCCTAACGATTGTTTTCGCTCGCAGCGCCGTTAATTCGTGTCCCACGAGTCCACGTGGCGGAATCATAGGCTTGCCGCGACAGCGGAACATCGCCAATGACCTGCAGATGGCAGCAGAGTACATGGGCGCGGCGGTTACTGCGGTGACAACCGACGACAGCAAGGAGAGCCTGGCTTCGACAGAGGCTGCGCGAGAGGAGATGAAGCCTCCGTTCTCATATGCACAGCTGATCGTCCAGGCGATCTCGTCTGCTCATGACAAGCAGCTGACCCTCAGCGGCATCTATGCATACATCACGAAAAATTACCCCTACTACAGGACAGCTGACAAGGGCTGGCAGGTAATTACAATTATTCCTACAAGGTGCAAAATTAACCTTCTTCGTCTGATGGTAATAAGGACTACATGATTTTGCAATCTGGTAGTCCTTGAGCAATTCTGGTTGTTCGGAATTTTGATATTCCGTGGTTTTTTTTTCCAAAACTATTGAAGTTTGTATAAATCATAGCATAAGCAACAAAAAAGAAGTTATAACAACTCACAGAAAAGATAAATAATTGAAGTTAACAGTTTATTCGTGTGTGTTAGTCAAAAACTGGCTGCTCTAAGTTAAGTTGATGCTGACAGTTTAGTAGTCCACCAGACTAGTCGTTATTACAATTTACTCATTCATGGAAAAATCTACTAGTTTCGGACTAACGGACTACCATTAATTTTGAATCTTGCTCCTGCTACAGGATGACTAACGGCAACGTAAAAGGGATAGCATATATAAGGTCTGGCAGATAATGACGATTGCAGTGAAGTGTGAATGAATAACCGGGAGTGGGGCTTGCAGTGATGATGGAGTGGGGCTGTTAGGACAATGGCTAGCAGTGACGACGAGGCCTAGCTACTAACGATGGATGGAAAGGCGTAGGAGTCTAAGGCGTATCCAACAGGATTGTTGGCTCGTGTAAACCATAAAAATACGTGTAAAAAATCATATAAACTACAACACTACTCGCCCGAAAACAACTTGTGTTTTTTTAACTCAAAACTTGTTTTTTTTATGTCAGAACTCGATCAGGCACAACTTGTCGTTGAATCGCTACTTCGTGAAGGTTCCCCGCTCCCAGGAGGAGCCTGGCAAGGGGTCGTTTTGGAGGATCGATCCGTCATCGGAAGCCAAGCTTGTAGAGCAGGCGTTCAGGCGACGACGTCAGCGAGGGGTGCCCTGCTTCCGCGCTCCCTTCGGGGGACTGTCGTCTAGGTAAGTTGTTCTCATCGTTAATGATCTTGCTCGGGTCCCACAGGCAATAACGAGCGTAGTAGACAAAGAAATTGTGTAAAAAGAGGACTCGCAAGCCAATATAATTTGCGGGTGGGGGGGGGGGTCGGGATCAAAAACTGTCGTTTGTGGAACAGTTGATGTATTGTGTTTAAGAAATGTCTCTAAATTACAAGTAGTTTGATGGTCGTACAGGTGTGATATATATGGTTGTACAGGTGTGATGTGGATGATTGCGGCTGTGCGATATACATATATATCAGGAGTGTATCAATAGGAGTGAGACAGACTAAAACCCGGCAAAATTCAACATTTAGTAGCCTTAGTCTACCTATGATTTATTGTGTTTACCTCGATAAACTTGAGCTCAAGTCTTGCCTTAATCATTAAACTTTATCCGTGTCTAATCGTTGGTCTCACAAAAATGACAAATCGGGAGATATCGGTCCAAACGTACAATGTGGTTTTTGAAAGTTATATCCCATTTTCAACAACTGAACCGAAACATAAGGGCAATGCTTTTGAAAGCCCTCTATCGCTTAGCAATGCAAACATAGCAAACAACTAGCGAGGTTTGCTAGGGATTTCGGAAAGTTAAACACGACTTGGTGTTATTGATACTATTTACATTAGAAATAAAAAATTTCATATGTTTAGTATTTTTATCCATTTTATTTTTTCTTAACTATATTAAGAAAAAATAAAATAAAACATAACATAAATAAACATAAATAAAATAAAACATAAAATATAATATTAACATTATTAATGTTCATAACATGTAATTACTGTCATTCGACATGGCCTATAATAACAACATGGCCAAAATTTTTTATTTCTAATGTAAATAGTATCAATAACACCAAGTCGTGTTTAACTTTCTGAAATCCCTAGCAAACCTCGCTAGTTGTTTGCTATGTTTGCATTGCTAAGCGATAGAGGGCTTTCAAAAGCATTGCCCTTATGTTTCGGTTCACAGTTGTTGAAAATGGGATATAACTTTCAAAAACCACATTGTACGTTTGGACCGATATCTCCCGATTTGTCATTTTTGTGAGACCAACGATTAGACACGGATAAAGTTGAATGATTAAGGCAAGACTTGAGCTCAAGTTTATCGAGGTAAACACAATAAATCATAGGTAGACTAAGGCTACTAAATGTTGAATTTTGCCGGTTTTAGTCTGTCTCACTCCTATTGATACACTCCTGATATATATATACATATTATAATATATATGCAGTTGTGATATATATATGGTCATACACGTCTGATATCTATGGTCGTACAGATGTGATATGTATCATGGACATACACGTGTGATATCTATGGTCGTGCAAGTGTAATGAAGGGTCTTGCAGGTGTGATATCTATAGTAGTACAAGTGTGATACATATGGTACTACAGCTGTGATATCTGTGGTAGTATATGTTTGATGTCTATGGTTGTACAGGTGTGATATCTGTGGTTTGTTACTACGTTGATTATATGATGGTCGTGATAGCGTGCTGCATTGTAGGTTCGCCCCAGAGGCATAAGATGTGTGATATCTATGGTCAGTGCACCGTAGTTCGGCATTGTAGGGTCCGCACGAGGTGTGCTGGATATCTCATGGCGTGCACGCTGTGGCATGAGGGCGTCGCAGAGGTGGTGTGATATCCTCATTAAATAGTTGCACGTTGTGGCATGTAGTCTGGTCGCTCCCAGAGGTGTGGTGAGTATCTTCATGGTCGCTGCAGCGTGTGCATGTCAGCCGGTCGCCAGAGGTCGTGTGATTATCTTATGGTCGGTGTCACGTGTCGCATTGTAGCGCGTCGCAGATGTGCTATTAGTGATATCTAATCGGGGTCGTCCCACCGTTGGGCCATTTGTGAGTGGTCGCAGCTGGTGTTGATATTCTCCATGTCGTGCGACGTGTGCATGTCAGGTCGCCAGACGTTGTGCTCGATATCTATGCGTGTCGTGACGGTGTGGCATTACGGTCGCAGAGCGTGATCCGTCTGATTATCTCCATGGTCGTCGCAGTGTCGCATGTAGGCTCGCAGATAAAATATGGTGTGTGATATCTTATAGTTCGTGCCAGCTGTGGCACTATCGTGCACGTAGTGGCATGTGAGGGTCGCAGATGGTGTATGATTATATCTTCAGATGGTCGTTGCCACTGTTTTGTCGCGCCATGTTAGCGTCGCCCCCAGAGGTGTGTGAACGTATAATTATTTATGGTCGCTGACGTTGTGGACAGTGCTAGCGGTTCGCGAGCGCTGGTGTGTGACTATTTATTGGTCTGTGCACGGTGGCATGTTAGTGTCGCCAGAGGCCCATGTGTTTATATCTGATGCCGTTCGCTGTTCACGTTGTGCGCATGTAGGGTCGGTCATACACGTGTGCGTGCGTGTAAGCTGCGTTGTGTACCTGGCAGGTCGGCACCGGCATCGCCAACGCAGAACAGCAACATGAGCGGTACGTTTACGCCGGAGAGTCTGTCGCGTGAGGGCAGCCCGCTGCCGCACGCCGGCGAACAGGTCGTCGAGACGACGACGGAGGTCGCGAGACAACTGTCGAGCCCCGTCGCAGCGGTGAACGCTCCCGTCGCCGCGCTCATACAGAGAGACATCAAAACCAGTCAGTCGGCTCCCGGATCCCCGTCCGGTACGTGGGTATCTGCTGCGAAATCTGCACATGGTAGGGCATACCATCGGCGTCTCTCGCTCTTTCCCCTTGCCTCCATCTCTCTGCCTCAAGTTTTGCTGTCGTTTGTTTGTCTGTCTGTCTGTCTTGGTCTTTCTCCCCAGTTATCTGTCTTTCTTTTTCTGTTTCTCTCTCTGCCTCCTATCTATCTCTCTCTCTCTCTTTCTCTCCGTCTCTTTCTCTCTCTCTCCCTCTCTATCTATCTCTCTCTTCTCTCTCTCTCTCTCCTCTCTCTTCTCTCTCTCTCTATCTGTCTCTTTTCCCTGATTCTCTCATGTTACAATATGTTTCTAGGAGCATATTGATTTTAACCTGGGTACTGTGTACTTGGCATTTGTTTAGCCTAGATTTTATAGGTAATAAAAAAATTAATTGGTAATTAAGCATTCAACATACTTCAGTAAAGTTAGTTTGAGCTGGTTGGTTTGAAGAGCTTTAAGATTGTTTTTGGGTAGTTATGCATTCTTTAATTTAAAAAATTAATTTAATAAAATTATGCATTTTATTAATGCAAGCTTGTCAGATCTCGTGTTGTTGAATTGTACAGCTAGAGAGAGTTGAACTCCGTTCTTGTTGTCATAGCTACACGGGTGACCTCACCTGCTGGCGTGATTACATCGACAGCTGGCGCCCTCTACATCAATAAATCGCATGTACTAGTGGCACCAGGTCAGGGAGCTGTGGGAACGAACGGCTTTCCAATGTCGGTTGTGAGCAACGGTACCATCGGTCCACAGGTTAGATATATCACTCCCTTTCGATGTTCGTAGCTGAGTCTACAGACTGTTTGTTTTACTGTGGTTGGTTGACTTACAATAAAAAATGTCACACATTAGTGTCTGTATCATACCGTAATGCCGTAGCAGCTTAGTTGCTGTTTCGAAAATTGAACTTGTCCCTTATGCAGAAGTATTGACAACAGGTTATATACAGGGGTGCTATTGTCAGTATATAGATTAGTGCTTGTCTGCCTGTTCTTATGTTTCACTTCTACTTTTCTGCTTGCAGCAAGTCAAAATTGCACAGCAGCAGCAACAGCAGATGCAAATGCCACGGTCGCCACAGCAACAACAGCAGTACCATGTGCAACCTACACAGACTGTATTGCACCAGGTGGAGGTGAAAACAGAAGGTGAGAGCTCGTTCCATCTTATGGCAGTTGGCAAGGTGGGAAAACTACATTTGATCCTGTTTTCTTCGTGCAGCGACACATGTATTTGATGCCACATACCCTAACGTTGTATGTCAGCATCACTTTTAGATCGGTCTAACACATTGGTAACCGGGAAAGCAAAATAATTGTTTTCATTCTTGCGTTTTGCAGACTCTGAAGCAATGCCAGTGGCATCTGCTGAGTCGAAAGAGAGGCCGAAGCAGAACTACACGCAGTCTGTGCTGACAACGGTGATGCACGCACCTGTCATGCACGCCACTCCTGCCGCAGCCGTCGCACTCTCACACAGCTTGTTGTTGAACCAGCTTCAGGCTCCACAGCCATCGTCACAGCATTCAGTACCCCAACAGGCGGTATGTCATGTTTGTGCAGCTACTTTGCCACCCCTGCTGGTTATTTATCTGGAAATCTATAGAACTAGTTGATAATGTTTATAACATTCCTATCTTTATACTGTGTAATTTAATGTAATGATCTCTCTTTCTAATATGTGTATGTATATATATATATATATATATTTGTGTGTGTATATATATAATGACGTGTGTACTTGACTTGCATGTCTGTCTGAATCCCTACCTGCCAACCTGCATACCTGTGTGTGCATAATATGCACATATTATCAGGAGCCTATAAATGGATTGATAAATAATTGATTATTGATATAATATAATAATTGATATTATAATGGTTTATAAATCCATTTATAAGCTCCTGATATTATAACCTTGTTTATATAAATATATATATATATTACATATATATATATACAGGTAGGTCCCGTTTTACTATGATCCATTCCATCTAATCGCAACTCAATAACACATCACAGCAATGCCTGTGAGTACAAGTGTTTTTAGCTCATCTGACATAGTCAGATGCAGCTTGTAGAATCGCATGAGCGTGCGTGCGTGCGTGCGTTCGTCCGTCCGTCAACAGTTGGGCACAAATCTTAACCGCTGGACGTACGGTCACGATATTCGGGACGTTGGGGGGATTGTCAAAACGAGTTGGGATGTCGAAGCTTGGGGTCAAAGGTCAAAGGTCAAGAGGTGTAAAAGAAGAGGGAACATTCCCTCCTTAACTTGAGGTATAGGGATGGAAATGCAGAATTGCCAGCACCCAAACTTAAACGCTCACCTAGGGTCGGTGATAGTGTGTATAGATCATGTTAGGAAAAGCCAACACATGCTGCCTCAAATTGAATTCACAGGGTCAAGAGGCGTCAATGGCCGCACAGGCTCAGATGATTAGACATTTTCTGAGACATGTTACGACAGAGCGATTGAAAAACTTTTTGTTTCACGTTGACCTAGCATTTTTATGCTTTATTGAAAGCGACCATGAAATGTATCTTTCGCTCACATGCGAAGAGTAAGTGTCGGATAAAACCTTTGACTATCAAGAGGAGGTGTAAACAGTTGATTTGTTTCTTCAACTGCGTTGGCGAGTACCTGTGGTTTGGAAAGCTTCCATTTACAGTTCTCTGAAATTCCGATCACAAACTCTTACTTGAACATACGCTTACTTACAGCGACGATAATGCATATGACTTATATATGAATTCTGTAAGTGTACATGAGAATAGTTGGAATACATTCACTAGCACTCCAAAAATGCCAGGAATGAGCTGCGATTTCCCAGACTTAATTTCTCTCATCAAATTTTGGCACCATATAGATGCAGAGTGTTGTACGTTACTTGAGCTTATTCAGGTCCATTAATACACTAGCCTACCTTGTACTCGAAATTAGTTTACAGATATTTGCTATCGTATTGCTATAAAATGTAATTTGCCACGAACGTTCTCTGTTGTATTCAACCATTGAGCTATTTCGTAATGAGCCAACCTGCCTCGCAATGGGCGTTTATATGTACACTTATTACCTGACACATAGAAACGCCACAGTAGTATAGTGAAATATCGGTAATTTCATGTCGCTCCTGGCTTTTGCCAAATTCTGTCGCTCACACCTGACACTGCATGATGCAATGCTTGCTGACGATGCAACGATGCCTTGATACGCGGCCCGCCAGTCTTAATCGGGAATTTATTACACTAGTTTTAAGAGTGTTGTTTTTGGGGTTAGAACATGAAACTTATGTATAGGACATCTTGCTATGCCACAAATGAATTTATCAGCAACAACCAGACACCAGATAGCCTTGTCGCCTTCTGTGGCACTCTGTCGGGACATTAGGGGGTGGAATGATTACATTCATCGCATTATAATTGCTCTTTTTACGACTCATTTCGACCTCGTGTTTTACTGGAACTTACTCTTTTCTAAAACGCGGACTGCCTGTATATATATAGTATAAGTAAAGCACACACGAACACCCGCGTTAGATAAAAACATAAGTCAAGGTATAGAATAAGGTGTTTAAAATTGTAATTTGACAACTTAGAAGATTACATCTCTTCATGCAGGGTCAGCAGACGTTGGAATGTCTGCCAATTGATTTGATTCCGATTGATTTGTTTTCCAATTCAAATTTGATCCAATGTCTGCTGACCTGATGAAGAGATGTAATCTCGAAAGCTGTCATTAAATTTTTAATTTTTAACCACTCATTATTCTATACCTTGACTTTATTTATATATATATATATATATATGTATATATATATATATATATAGAGATATATCATATGTATATTATTGATATTCTAATCGCCTTGTTTGTGCTTTAAAGGTGCAACAGGTGGCACCAGCAGCACAGATACATCAGACCCAGCAGGTAGCAACGCCGATATATTATCAGCAACAAGCCACCGTACAGACAGTGCAACCCGCCATGCCGACCAGCTATCTGTTAAAGCGCCCCCTGGCGGAAGAGTCGATGTCAGGAAATGGCGTCGTAGAGGGAGAAGAGAGAGCGAAGCGACAGAAAGTTGAAGAGGATGCAGCGGGCGATAGTTTAGCGTGAGACCCAGCCCTCACGCCAGAGATGCAGCGGGGGATAGCTTAGCGTGAGACCCAGCCCTCACGCCAGGGATGCAGCGGGGGATAGCTTAGCGTGAGACCCAGCCCTCACGCCAGGGATGCAGCGGGTGATAGCTTAGCGTGAGACCCAGCCCTCACGCCAGGGATGCAGCGGGTGATAGCTTAGCGTGAGACCCAGCCCTCACGCCAGGGATGCCGGTCGTTACGGTGCAAGTATTTCGGTACAGTTAATGATTGCGGAGTTTGCTCGTGTTAGGTAGATTGTATGTCATGTTGGTTGGAGGGCGTCTGCTACACGCACACCTGGGGCGGGAATACCTGGGAAGCTCACCCGGCGAGGTGATAATTGTAGGCGTGAGCGCGGGCGTAGCGTTGCCTGTGCGACGAACCGATCAGACTGCAGCGGTAACGCATCCTGTCTCTAACGACAGCGTCGTTCCCGCACCGAGAACACGCTCCAGTAAACTACATACTCGCACTGCGCACTCGATCCCGTAACGAGCAGTAAGCGTGTACGCGAAGATGCAACAAGCATGAGGCACGATGGAAACAAAGCTCTTTCTGTGGAAAGTGACACAGCCAGCAGCCTGCAGGAAACTTGTTAGTAAGTTGCGTGATTGGCAGTGTAGCGCGCCCCCGTAAGCAAGGTGAAATTGTCGTCGTGTGACGATATTAGAAAAATAATGTTGTAAGTGGGGATATGCATTGCTTTTCACACCCTGTGCTGCATCATAATTAATTCTGGGAAACTCTGTTTACCAGTGCGCTGGGTATAGGAATGCTGAAGGATGCTATGAATGCTACAGGTGGGTGATTGGTTGGCTATTATCCCATCTCATTAGTGAGAGGAGATCAACTTTGATGAGACTGTACTTCCCCACCCTTCCCTAAACAGAATATATCGTAGTTGGGAGGTTTGATCGAGTGACTTGCACGTTCTATGCTTTTTATCCACGTGGGTGGCATACAGTGGGTGTCACGTGTTAAGCACAGAGGACCGTTGTTATCTACTGTGCAGTTAGATGTAGGTGGCAGCACAAACGTCTCTATGCTGTCTAGTTCCATCAATTCCTGTGTGCTGAGCATGTATCATTCGCATGTTTGAGCGTTATTCGTGTGTCAACACTGGCTTGGCATGATCACGAATATATTGCGGCTGCCACTCCTTCCCCCCCCTTAATTGCTCCTCGGACACATGTACGAGTTGCTGTAGAATTTTCCGGGTTACCAGCTACCATCGATACTAATCGCTAACTTTGTATATAGGGTCATCAGAGAGTGCGATGATAATTGAGAACTTTTATCCACTGACTATAATAACCACTTGAGGATCTGTGACTGCTGTTTGTTTACTCAAACACATCAACTAGGTGATATCATTACAACCATTATGTCATGATGAGCCGAATATCAAGATATTCTATCTCTCCGTCTGTCTGTACGGTACAGCTCTACTCAGGTTTGCTACTTGGGTCTTTATACTTGTCAAAGCTTGCGTTTCACAAGACAGGGCCAATTGTCTGTTAGAAGGTTGAGATTTTCCATGTAAGTTGCCGTTAGAGGGCACGTGCGTAGCACGGCACGTTCGTTTCAAGTCTGCGTGTACGTGTTTGTAGTGCATCATCGAGTTATTCATTCCCAATGTCGCCACAGATACCGCCGCCATAGCTTTCCGTGTCGTTTTCCGAACCCGGTGATTTTGTTTGCCAACGCAACGACGTTGGCACTTCTGTTGTAAGAATCGATGTTAGTATTCTCGTGCGTGACCTGTGCTCCACTCGCCTCACGGCCTCGCGCTAGGGGTGAGTGTGTGCGTGTGTGTGCGTGCGTGCGTGGTCGCCATGTAAAGATGTAACTACGCGCAAAGTGTGAAATGGGAGAGTTGCACAGTAGGTCAGTGAGATGTTGCACACAGTGTGCTAACTAGATAGGATTATAAGGATAAGAATTATACCGCCAAGTGTCATGTAACTGCCAGGCGTACCATCAAGCACCTGTGTGTGTACTGCTATTGCTATTATTACAACAACAACTACTACTACGTCTACTACTACAACCTACTAGTCTCTTACTACTATGACTACTTACTACTATTACTATTACTACTACTATTGCTACGATTATGTAGATGTTGTGATAGCTATTAACTTGTTCTTATTTCGTAGACATATTGTAGTAGTGTAAATCCCTTGTAAACTTGCACGTCATGCTGTGTGCATCTTATAGCAGGGCCTGGAGGGTGAAACATGAATGCAAGTGATGTAGTAGTGGGTTGCTAAGGTAAAGCATAGACAAACAAGTGGCACTTGCAAAGAGTGATAACATGTGAATTCGATTTCATTGTTGGTGTGAATTCAAATGCGTTCATGCGTATATGATTGGAGGATTGCTCGTGCGGAGGCGACGGCAGCACAGTGTAGTTGGAATTTTCTAATCTGTTGTTGCAAGAGCTTAGAATCTGTAAATTCTAAACAAGGCATACTGTGTATTTACACTGTCGCTGGTGCTGCCATCTCTCCTCGTGTGAGAAGGTTTCTGACAACCCTTTGTTCATGCGGGAGGCAAGCGAGTAGAGGGCATATTCGTGTGCATACCTACTGTGTTGTGCGCTAAGTTAGCTCTACTGGTGGTCTGTTATTGGCGATATAAGCATGCGCATGGAGTGAGGAGTACGCAGTAAGTGTGCCCATGTCAGATTGTGTTCACGCTCTGATATAGTGGGTAGGTGGCTCTCCCTTGTTTTGTTGGGAATGTCAGCAGAGCAGGCAGAGTGAGCGTGCAGATGAGAGAGCCAGATGCGTTGTATTATGTCATTGGCACACACTTGGAGGTTATGTAGAGTAGCAGCTGAACAGAGAGACATCCATCTATTGCTGCTGGTAGGTGGCGCTGCAATGTGGCGACCATCCATCACTGCAGCTTGGTGGCAGTAACATGGTGAATGTTTGTCGCTGCAGCTAGGTGGCGCCACGACGTGATGTGGCGATCCCCTGTCAATGTGGCTAGGTGGCGCTGCGACGTGGCAACACTCTTTGCTGCAGCTAGGTGGCGCCCTCATATTGACGGGATTAGATTTTATTAGAATAACACCTTTTCGGCTGTCGAGGCTTGGGTGCCGTAGAGGTGTCGCGTGTGCGCTTGATCGTTAAATTATGTGTTAATTCAAATACAGTGCCCTCTTTGCAGCGTGTGGGGAACAAAGCAAACCTGACATGCTTGTGAGCAGTATGCTGACTAACAGTGTTGCGTATTTCGCTTGGTACTAGGTGGCAAGTAGTGCAGAAAGAGAGAAACAGGGAAGAATAAGAATGCTATGTACTGAAGCAAGGATGAGATGTTTTCGTGGTAAACGCATGCTCACCTGCTCACGTGTGTCACAGATCACCGGTTGCTGTAGTCGTTGTCGTTGCTGCTGCCACTGCTGCTGCTGCTGTTGTTGTTGTTGTTCTTACTGTTGTGTTCGCAGAGCTCCTTTAAAGGTAGTCTTAGAGCATCACAGGTCGTAGGCTTCTACAGTGAGAGAGCTGGAAAGAGAGAGACGTAGCTAGCTATCTATGTGTAGGGTAATGTTGGCAGGCTTGTTGCTTCCGCGCTGCAGGTCGCTTGGCCTTTCCTGACATCTGTCTGTCGAACTTTTGTGACCTGTGTCGACCTTATGCCCGTGATTTTCTGTTTGTGGCGTTTGTTGCTTAGAGAGAGAGAGGGTGCCACAGCCTTGTGGCTGCCTGCGGTGTGTGCGAGTAACGAAGTTTGCTGTGTAATCTTATGTTAGGGTAATAATAATGACTTTAGCTCACACATGTAGAAAGCCGTCGATGTAGAGGTCTCTCTCATTTCTCTAAAACAACTTCAAGATCATTGACAGCGATAGCTGCTCACAGTGGCCTCTCGCATACATTCATGTGACGAGCATGTTGAATGCCTGCTGGTATACAGTAGAAAGTTTATGTGACGGATCGAAAATTTGTTGTCTCGTCTTGTAATTGCGTAAGATGTATATGTAGCAGCAGCCGTCACGTGTCAGATGTTAATGAATGTACAGTACAGTACTATATCCCTGGCTGTTTTGATTTTTTGTAATGCAAGCGTTTATCTATGTAGTAAATAAAAACGGCCGCAAGCATTGTTGGTTTACTCAGCTTCCATGTTTTTGCTACTATTTCTGCCAATTCATGCATAGTATTGATATATTTATTGATTATTCATCGGCGGTGGTGGATGTTCGAACGGGGCGGGTTAGGGTATAACACTGTCAACACTGTAAATAATTACTGTCAACATGATATGCCTCGCGTTGGATTAACCAGACGAAGTAGTGAGGATAGGGTAGTAATTTACTATGAAAAAAAAGGTTTACGTGTAAACGATACGGAACGATTTTTTATTATGACGCGTGTGTGCGTACACGACTGATCTCTATACTAAGTTAAGTTAGTATAGAGATCAGTATACGTGGTATACACTTACAGGCTGGGTATGAAGAAAACATGGAGTTAGTAAACTGGAAGTCAATGTCTCCTGAGACCAGAGTTCGAGGGTAACATTGAATTTCAAGGTTCACAAAATTCCATGCTGCCCGAACAACCATGTAATTTATTCTAACATCAGAACCAAGTATTTATAATTATACACTTGAACTGGCTCAGCGACTGTCAAGCAACGCCAAGACAAAGATATATATATATATATATATATATATATATATATGACATATATCGTCCTACAATGGAAGGAAGCAATAAAGATTCATCCGAAGATAGGGGGAAGGAATATAGAATTTCCCTGCGATGGGAGAGAGAGGTAGAGTTGTGCTGCGGCGGAAGGGAAAGATGAAAGATTGAGTGTCAGGAACATGATATAGAAATGCGTTATTCTCCTACTTCAACGGAAGAACGAGACTTGAAAGAACAGACGGATATTGTCTGCTGAGTACAAAGTGTACACTGATTGACGAGGCGGAGGGAGGATGACCTGTGGCCTCATGACCTGTGGCAGCGTGACTGAGAGAGAGCTGGCACAGACTAAAGGATACAGTCATATAACCATAACGCATAAACGTAGAAAATGATGCATCTTGTTACGTGTACATTAGTGACAAGCTAGTTGTAGAAATGCGATATAGCTACGATATAGAAATGCGTTATTCTCCTACTTCAACGGAAGAACGAGACTTGAAAGAACAGACGGATATTGTCTGCTGAGTACAAAGTGTACACTGATTGACGAGGCGGAGGGAGGATGACCTGTGGCCTCATGACCTGTGGCAGCGTGACTGAGAGAGAGCTGGCACAGACTAAAGGATACAGTCATATAACCATAACGCATAAACGTAGAAAATGATGCATCTTGTTACGTGTACATTAGTGACAAGCTAGAATATAGCATGCAAATCTTATCCTATCGGGTATGTGAAATAAAAGCTTAGAAAGCAAAATAGTACTGCACCGCCCGGGAATCGAACCCGGGTCGAAAGAATGGGAATCTTCCATGATACCATTACACCAGCGGTGCTTTCGCGCAAGTAAGGTCAAGTAAAGCTTCTATATCATATACATGAAATATGTCACAATTGTTAATGTGTAGTTATAATTATCTTTTGTGAATTTACTATTGATGATTGGAAGTTGTAGAATCGCCGTTGTAAGTTGTCTGAATGTTTACTTTGAAAAATTATCGTAACATAATTGTGACGTAGATACGAGCCTGCGCCATTCCTGTTGGTGATTGGTCATTCGGGTTGCGACAATAGTTGGTTAGCTGCGAGAGAATCATTGAGCGAGTGATGTACACTCTAAGCGGAGGACCGAGCAAAATAGCATCGAAAACGCGTCGAGGTAAGGTAGATCGCATCGTTTTCTATCATATTTCGCGAAAAATCTTGGTTTTAAAGCCAAATCTTCGATATATATGAGTCTATTCGTGTTCAAGGTCATGGAAAGGATGCAAATTTTTCGTTTGCAGCTCCGACGTCGCCAGCTCAGACGAATTTTGACCAGTTATCCAGGAAAGGAAAGGAGGAGATTATCAATATGACGTGCGTAGGCCTAGTCCATTTTTATTCATTGTTCGTCGCAATTTTGCGGCGTTTCACTCGCTTTGCCTTTCGTGTCATTTTATGATTCGTGTCTATCAGCGTACGTAACATAGCGCACCACGTGCGTTGCGGGCACATATCTCTCGCCAGCTTACGCGCGAACTAGTAATGTTATTTATAGAAATTAAACACGATAGACGTCTTAGCTACCGCTAAAAGCAGGGGTACATAAACACTGACACACCGTGGTTATATAAAACATTACGGAGTTATTTGCAAGTTTCTATGTGATGTTTTTCTTCCTAGGGCCCTATAGGCTATTGTTTTAGTGCTTGTTCAGTTGCGTTGACATCGTTGTTGTTATTTAATTTCGTCAGACGCATATTTTTTCATTCTACATTGGACCACGCATCTGTGAGTGAATTGAGTGTTTTATTTCACTCTCAATGTATGAGGTATTACAACTCTTTACCTCATTACCTCAGACAACACCCATGCCTCGCTATATCACTATCATTTGCAGGTTGTATAGTTTGACAGACAGCTTTGGCACTCAACTTAGCCACATGTAGGCCTATATGGCAGTGCGAAGAGTAATGTTGGTGGAGGTATTTGGCAGCTTGCACTCTTTCCTACATAAAGATTGAATAATCAGGGCTCAAGCCCAGTTATCCCCATACATATATCGTCATCAAGCATACATCATCACTGCAACTCTAATCGTAAAACCTAACCCTTACTCCACCATGTGTGTACCGAGGCGGGCCGCCTCACTCAAATTCTCAGCTTCCACACAGAAATTTGTCCAAAACATCGCCTCGCTGACGAAAATCTCATACAATGTATTCAGAATAGCTTAGAGCTAGAATGCACCAAATTGCACAATTCAACTCCCCCTTGCTTTGCTAGGACCTCGAAACGTGCAAACGCACCAAAAAAATTACCAACTCGCAGATCTATTTGGCCAGGGGAAACGCTGCAATATGAGCATACACTGGTGATGAGAGCAACAATAATAATAACAACATTCTTTATCCCAGGTCTCCGAAGCCGGTGTTTAACGGCAAGCCTCGATATAACAACAGAAATCACCAGGTGTCACGACATCATGAGCTGGTAGCAGCTCCTCATGAGGAGATGGTGCGATACATATCCGACGGTAGGTATAATAGCTCTTTCTGCTGTAGCTGGTTGAATTTACGTTAATTAAAGTTATGTGACATTCCATATGGGATTGGTTAATCAAGATATTGTTCTGCCTATATATATATACAAGCAGTCAGCCCATGTAAGTCTTTATTGCAATATGTTAATAACTAGTGACATATAGCACTTGACTGTATTTGAGGGGGATTGTACTTGATTAAATTATATACATGTAGGAGTCCTGTGCAACATACCTTTGTATAAAACAGCAGGGTCATTGTTTATACAATATTGTATTCCTTCCTGGCTTCCAAATACACAAATGTAAAAACTACCATTTTCAGCTTGGAATAAAGTATCAAAAGAATACGAAGCTCACAGAAAAGCAGGTAGTGTCTCCTTAAAAATTCAGTTTTATAAAAATTTCTGTGTGTATGCTTAGGTCAAATTTGTATGTATTCAGCAAATATCAGATGTAGTACATTCTCCGTGAAGCAGCCGGGAAAAGAGATAGTTTTAGCTTAATTATAACACTAAACCATTAATGTATTGTAGTGTGTAATACTGTAGAAGGCCATGTGCATAAATTCCTAATATGATCAGCTCATATTTTAATTGCCTTACAATTACTGGTTAACAGGACGTGATCTAACTATTGTATACTACCAAGAAAAAGTGCCAAACCCACAGTTAAATGGTGAGTGATGTTTAAAGTTGCACTACTAGCCCATATAGTTGTATCATACTCATTTTTATGTGCGTCATTTAACGATTTTACTAAAATAATTTTTCTACTCAGAGTTGTTATGTTATCAATGTTTATGGGTTGGGTTTAATTGATCGTCTGGGTGTGTTTGTTCATGTCGCACTCTCCCACAACAAACTGTTTGTTCGTCCACCGATCAGGTTTCTTGTGTCCCACAGAGACGATATATGTTCTCAGTGCTCTTTCTCATTGTCCTGCTTTGGTTTTTCTTCTCAGGTTTCGAGCCTTTCGATCTGGAGTCGTGGTGGGGAAATCGCATACTCAAGGATATCACGCAGTCGTCATGAGACCGTGAGATACAGGTGGAAGGCTACAGCGATTGTGTAGGCAGGTTGTAGGAAGGGTCGAGCCGGGGGGGGGTCTCATTGTTGAATTTAAAGTCATGGCGGCTGCATTGTTAATGCTGATGCCACATTGTGACACAATTGTGATGTTGTAAAGAAGGCGACGATCAAATTGCCGGATATCACTGTGAGTCCTCGTCACGAAACCGGACTCTTCGGAGGAAGCTATAGAGTTTAGTTTCTTATCCGCTTCAGTTGTGATGTTCTGACATTGCTCGGTGGTAGGGCAGGGATGATGTCGACTGGTGCTGTTGCATCAGTACTCATCTCTCCCTGCAACAAGTTCCGGCCTATATAACGTGGCCCTGTAGTTTCACACACACAAATGCGTGATTAGTAGTATTCGCAGTTGAATGACTGACCATTCCAGGAACGGTGGAACGCAGTGGCAACATAGGATTTACTAGGTTCTGCCTTGATGTGTGGCGACCCTAAAGAAAGCCGGATGATAGTCAGCGTTGATGTCTGAATGCGGTCTTAGGTGATGACATTAGTTTTTCCTCCCACGGCATTGCTGCTTCGTCACCCTACTAAACGGCCTGCCTTGTAGTTTTATAATTTGTGATCGTTATTTTCATCTTTTAGAGTCCGTCTGTCGAACGTCAAATAAAATACGCAAAAATGAAATCTATCTTTCCCATGTAAGTAGCTTGCTAGAAATTGCCATTCAATGTACTAGATTGGTTTAAGTCGTTGATTTGCACGAACATATGGAATGCTGATGAGTTGCTCTGGCACTAAAAATCGGTGTGATAACGATACGTAATGAAATTTGAAAAATTCCAGAGACGCATTTTGTGACAGCATGGATTTATTTACTTGCATTTTATTGTTTGATTTAATTTTCATGGGATCTAACATCAAATATTGCAACCCGTTTGATGCGGTGATTGCATGCAGCTTCAAGTAATGGATATTGAAATATTTTGGACTAACAACCATTTCGAAATCAGCTGAGGAATACACAGTGAGCTTCTACGTATTTGTTTATGAAAGACATTCCTTTTTTTGCGTAGTATTACATTGGAACGGCATGTATTTAACCCGTTTTTAGCAGTGGCAATAATGGCGTTTCCCCCACCAGAAAAGTTGGTGATTGCCTCACTAGGTGGCAGCAGTAGGTGACAGCAAAACAGTCGGCTGCAACCAAAGATCGTATAGTGCCAGAGGCACAAGATAAACCACTCTCCAATAATAGCGTAGTAGGTCATGGGTCGCCACAACCGCCATTTTAGGAAGCAAGTTCACACGAAGTTCCCGGATGCTGCTGTATCTGCGACTGTGCAACTGTCTGCTGTGTGCTGTCAGCTCAGCTTACCGTTCTGCTGTAAATTGCTCGAATCATCAGTGTAAGCCCGACCTGTCTTTCTTCAGGTTCCCCAAGAATACGGAAAGGTGAGAAAACATTATTTTTTGTCGAAATCCATCGTGAAAGAGTTGTGCAATCTTCGTTGAAACATGTAGTACCAGTGGCAGTGCAGTGGCTCTCTTATTCTTGTTGTTTGTGCACAGGGCGTACGTGCGGTGTACTTCACTACTTGTGTGTTGCAGATGAGCATTTAAACGGCATTTACAGCAAGTTATCGACAATAATAGGCGAAATAGAGTAGAGAAACATTAATACTTTGATAGTAGATACATTTAGTGTTTATTTACCATTATTTGTTTGAGACGGTCCAATGAAGTGCCTGTGCACTGTACCATTGTCGGACACTACACCACTGCACTGTGTAGGGGCCTACATACTAACATAGTAACATCCGATTATGAATTATTGTTAGATTTTTGTACACTTGAATGAGAGATTTGATACAGCTATTGGCGTAAAAATATGATCTATTACATTATATTATAATATATATATATATATTAACCATGGTTATCCACATTATTTCTATGTATCAAACAGACGCGGAGCGGGTTTTGCTTCCTAAAATGGCGGACGTGGCGCTCCATTGCGTACTACACGTCATTGCACGTGATTTCGCATGAGTGGTTTATCTTGTGCCTCCGGCACTATACGATCTTTGGCTGCAACTATGTAAATTGTAATTGCGGTTAGGGCTGTTTATCCGATTTTCGTAGATGTGGTGATCCATCTTTCCTTGTTCCTTGGGCAGTGTGCATTATCTCCCACTGTTCACCAGGTTAACCCTAACACAGTGCATTTGCCTGTGTTTCTTCTATTCTGACTGCTGCGGAAACAAGTACGCACTTGTTGTGGACAGCAGCATGACAGTAATTTGTAAATGCCAAGAAGTTGTTAGCAGTATTATATTATCAGGAGCAAATAATGACAAATTTGTCATTATTAGCTCCTGATATTATCTATGTGCGAGTGTGAGCAACGGAACAAATGTGTATACTATTGGTGTCATTCTAACTTCAAATAATGCACATAGGTCGACTTGTGTGTGTGAATAACTATTTTAATCTATTTATTCACAATGTGGATTTTTGTCACTAATTGTGTCAATATACATGTGTGCCCAAATTTTAGTGGTATATTTGTTGCGATTTTGAGCACACGTAGAGATTTGTACTGATATTTACAGATGTATTTTGACAAAGATTTGACAAAGTTGTACATGTTTTAGAGAAATGATATTGAAAATAAATTTGACCAAAACAATGGCTAGTATATAGTTTATTTGTACTGGTTATGAGATAGTGTGTCCACATTACATTGACACCTATGTAGCTTATCATTTTTAATATCTCACATCTTCATCCTAATGTTCACAGGCTAAAAACATATAACACGAATGTCATATTACGCATGTATAACGTGTGTATGATTCCACATCATGCTATGCATATATAGCAAAGATTCATTCGTGAATCATTCATTATAGCAGCAGTTAGTCCAGTTGTGTTTTAACGTGCGTGTTGCTAGATGACTGACGCGTTATGTCGCTGACATTGTGCGGCTCACTAATTTATATTATTATGTATCTATTCTGTCTATCTATTATTTATCTATTAATGTATCTATATAGCAGGGCGTCAAGTTCCTATTTTTTCCTATTTATTCCTATTTTCTGGGCAATTCCTATTTTCTCCTATTTTTTCCTATTTTTGAGGGCTTTTCATTTTTCTGAATCCAGAATTGTATGTATCCTTCTCAGAATGCAGGAATTTACATTTCAGGTGACCCAATTTTCAAAAATTTCCTGGGGGAGGACCCCCAGACCCCCCACCCCTTACTTTAAATTAACGTAATATACTCTTTATTATCACAGATTTTATTTAAGTAAAGTTGTTTCTCAGTTGGATGTGGTATGTGTATCCAGAGGGGGTCCAGGGGGTCCAGACCCTCTCTTTTCTACCCCAAAAAAGGGAAAACACATAAAAGATAATTTTCTGCTTAAAAATTTGGAATTCCATCTTGCATTCTAGACATCAAAATTACTGCTCAGATGCTCTCAGAATGCACCAATTTTCGTGGGGGAGGTTCCCCCCCCCCCCACTAAGTGGCAACGTGCCTTAGACACGGCGCTTAAGCTGCCTTCGGTACCTTTTTGTAAAAGTGCCTTTTATTTCTTACTGGACCCCCCCTTTTTCAAAAAGCCGGATCTGCCCATTTATACAAGTGCGTCATACTATTTTGGAGTAGTCTACATGTATGGGTGCTTATGCATGTATAAACTGCTTATCAATTTTAACATGCATTTCTCATTAAAACCTCAAAATTATGTTCGCATGTGATGTAACTCCAACTATGTATATTAATAAAACCATTTGTGGTGGATCGGGATGGCTGTAGGGGTATTGGGAGGCCATCTAACGCAACAAATATTACTATTTAACATATATTTTATCACCAAAATCCCTATTTTCCTCCTATTTTTTCACACCTGAAATTCCTATTTTCTTATTTTTTGAGCGTCACTTGTCACTTGACGCCCTGATATAGTTATAGCGAGCGAATGTAAATGGGTAATTTGCGTAGATCTGTTAGCGATAGGTCATCACAACACATGCATCTCCTTCGTTGCTTCCACGCCCATCTGAGCGCAAGAACAACATTTATTTTAGATACGATCTTCCTGGTTGTACAGAGCAGACAAACGACGAAGAAATGCGTGCATTTTTCACGCCAGAAATATTTTCATCGTATCAAATTTGTCATCAAACACGCGTTAGAACGAATTTTCTACAGCGAGGTGTCTTATCCATTAAAATAATACAGATGGAATTTCTGTCTGCTAATTCGGTGGCTATAACAGTGTTACGCACAGAATTTAACTGATGGTCTCACAATGTTTTCGCAGTTGGACGAGGAACGTTCGATGGACTTTTAGAACGCGAGTCCTTTTCGTTTTTTCTGAATTACGTGATATAATATTAGTAAGACTTACTTCAGCTGGCAATCAGAAAATATATTCTAAGCGTAAGCTAATGTACGTGACCTGCCATACACCTTGATTACTTACGGTTCGAGAAATAACGTTGCAGAGGGTTTACACATATTCCCTGTAATAAATACAAAATGTCAAAGGCTGCTGACTCACGATGTTTAGGCACAATTCCGATGTCATGTCGCATATTAAAATTGTACATATTTAGTGTAATAATAGTAATAATACTAAGAAGAAGAAGAAATATGTAATATATAACAAAGTACGAACCCTATAAAATATCAAGTGAAGGAACATTCGGCGGAAATCTGCCATCTCGACACGACACTAGGAAACTTGGTAGAAAAATCAGCGGTAGAAATAAATAAACAAACATGTATATATATATATTTATATCAAGAGTGGATAATAGGAGATAATATATCTCCTATTATGTACTCTTGATATATATATATATATATATATATATATATATATATATTATTTATTTATTATTGACTGGTTATATAAATAGGTAATTCTTCATGGTCCAGGAAGGTTACGTACGTAA